CCCCAACAAAGGGTTTTATGTCACTCAGTGAAATGGAATTTTTGATTCTTATATTTCCAAATGGGGGCCCAGCAGGCGAGTAACATCAGAAAAAGACAGCGGACGGAGAACGTCGAAATGGGTTCCAAGCGTAGGACGCTGGACCACGGCCGAGCTTTCCCGTCGGGGAGGACTCCCCTCCGCACCCCCCGCCCCCGCCTTCGGGTTTCATGACCGTCTCCCAAGTTCCTGAGAGCCACAAGTGTTCTATTTCCTGCCTTTTTATTGTGTACGTGAAGGGGTAGGAAACAGAGACAACTACGCAAGTGCTGAGTCACATTTCTGGGGAAAAATTCAAAGAAGCCGGATAAACGGAAAACTCGAGGTTCTGGCCGCACAGACAGGCGGCTGTGTTTACAGTTCGGCTTCACTGTCCACATATTTCAAATTCACAGAGTTGAACCTGATCATAACTGGGGCCCCATCGTCGCAAATTTCTGAGGCGTGAGCTCATTCCTTACCTCTCTCTTTGGATGGCTCCCGGGTGCAGAAAGCATCCGCTGTGTTATTGCCCAGTCGTGCAATTCTGTTGCTGGTGGTGGCTTTTTTTTTTTTTAAAGCCCCCAATCTGTGACGCTCACCTACCTGGAACTGACGAGCTGCACGTACGTCCCACGGAGAGAGGTCCCTCTGCGTCGGCGAGACCGGGGTCACCCCCGAAAGCCCCTGGCTTCCCGTTTGCACCATCCGGCGAGATTGAGACGTCTTGGGTCTCTCGGTGACATTTAGGAATCACGCAGGGCGACAGAGGAAGTCATCACGTTTCCAGTTCACCTGCAAGAGGAGGTGCCGTTAGAGGAGGGAGCAAAATGAAACCCTGTCAACTTGTTAGGGCCCAAAAGGAAATTCTGCCATCAGAGAAATGAAGGCCAAGAGTGATCGGGGACCCTATCGTTACCGACAGGAAGGAACCCGCCCGTGTCAGAGGTGTCCCCTGCCAGGGAAGTTCAGGTGTTGCTAAATTCATTAATGTGTCACTTTGAAGAGACGTGATGTCACTCCCGTTGTCTTCAGAGATGCAAAGTGGGGGGCCGCCTGCCCCTGTCAACACACTGTCATCTTAATCCCGTCTGCTCGGCACCTGGCTCTGCCATCTGCGAGGAGCTAAGGGCGTCTTAAAAGGTTACTAATATCTGACATATATCATTTTAATCTGCCCTTTGCCTCGCGACTCCCTACCACCAAAAAAAAAAATTTTTTTTAAATGTTGCTAAGTCAACACTCCTCGCGCTGCTTTGCTGGCTAGATTTTTGCAGATGAGGGTAGTTGGGGGCAAGTGAATCTCTTGTGCTCTTTCTTTCATTTTTATTATTTACGGTAAATGTACTCACTTTATAAGACAATGTGGCTCCATGGGTCCAGGATAAATTCCTGTAGGAAGCTGATGTTTGAAACACCAGGCCCCGGGCAGTTTGCCTCCCTCTTGGTTTACGGGCATTTTCCTCAAATTTCCCTTCGGCAGGTTCTTCTGGAAACGGGAAGCCTTCGTAAAAGGGCGTCTCCATCGGCGGGAGGCAAGTGGTTGCTCTGCGCCTGACAGGATAGAGAATGATTATTTAGTAACTCGTACCAGGAAGGGTGAAGTATAAAATAAAACACACCACGTCATGAGTAAAACAAATGGCGCTTTATAGTAGGAGGTCGCCAGAAGCTGAAAAAATTACGTTTTTCTAAAGATACGAGTTAGGGAGAATGGTTTTAAAGATAGGCCACATTGTAATAATTCGTGGTGGTTGTTCTGTTTTTTTCCGATTTCAAATATCACATCGGCCTAAGCAAATTTTAATTCAATATGGATTATTTCCGACAAGTGAAATCACCAATTTTCACACCTTGGTTCAAGGCAAATATTTACTTGCTTAATTTGGTTTTTCAAAGGATAAGTGGGCTTTTTTGCAGTTTTTTCCCCCCTAGAACACGTCAGTAGTCAAACGATAATGAGGAGATGGCAAACACCCTTTCTAGCTAAGAAAGACCATGGTGTAATTTCTTTTAAAAAAAAAAAAATTAATTTTTTAAATTAACTTTTAGAGAGGGAGAGAGAGAAACATCAATGATGAGAGTCACTGATCAGCTGCCTCCTGCTCGCCCCCTGCTGGGGATCGAGGAGCCTGCACCCCGGGCCTGGGCCCTGCCCGGGAATCGAACCGCGACCTCCTGGTTCCTGGGTCAACGCTCAACCGCTGAGCCACGCCGGCCGGCCTTGGTGTAATTTCTATTGAAATGACCTGAGTGCCTTTCCACTTTGGGTTCTGCTAACCACCGCTGCTTATTTTATCTGTACGGAGGCAGAGCTAAGGAGACAGGCCACACTGTTACGCTCATACCGCGGATGCCGAAACGACAGAACACTATTCGCGCCCGGGAATGTCACGCGGTCCCTCTCCAAGTAAGCTCCCGTGTTCCCATCGCTGGTGGAAGTGGAGCCTGGAGCCCCTAGACCAAGTGTGATTTTCATGCCATTTCAAAATCCTATCCGGACAGTCCACGTGCCCTGTGCAGACTTTCCACGCCAGGGACAGGAACAGTTACACGATTTTAGCTGCAGATAAAAACCACGGTACATGGCTGCTGTGGGGACCGGGGGTGGCCGGGCCGGGCTGTGCTGATATATGGGGCACTTAGCCCAGCGAGAAGCCAAGTTAGGTGGGGAGTTTCCCCCCATCAATGAGTTTTTCAAGTTGCTCCTGGTAGTTGTATTGTCGGGTCCCTCTGGGTCCTGGCGGGAGGCGGGAGGCGGGAGGCAGAAGGGGGGAGCGTCGGCTTTGGACTTTCACTTGCAGAAAGAAAGAAAATCAATCTTCGTGCCCCAAAGACAGAACTCCTCATGCAGAAAGTCACGGAGGGTTGGAGGCTTCGAAGGGAGACTCAGAGGAATCGGCTTCGGGCTGCGAGCGAGATGCTGAAGTGCATCTCCGCTCCCCCGGGGTTCTCGGGGCGCAGAAAGAGATAGAAAGGGCGCATGCTGGCCGTGGCCCGAGTTGGTGTATTTTGTGTGTGTTTTTTTAATCAAGAGAAGGGAAACAAACAAAAAAAAAAACAGCTGAAATTGCGGATGGATCTGTGTATTGGAAAAATAAATATAACTGCCACGCTTTGTTCTTTGTCAGTTAGAGTGTGGCCTGTACCCTACTCGGGAAAAATCATCCTCTGAGTACCATCGATGGTTCCCCAGGAGGGTGGCTGCGAGCCTTTGGGTGAGTGTCAAGGTTTTCACACAGTGCCTTGGTCTCAAGGTCTTATTTCATATTTCTTTTCTTTTATCTTTTTAAATTCTCACCTGAGGATATTTTTCCATTGCTTTTCAGAGAGAGTGGAACTGAGGGGGAGAGAGAGAGAGAGAAACATCGATGCGAGAGAGACACATCGATTGGTTGTCTCCTACACGCACCCCGACCAGGACCGGGGGCCGAGCCTGCACCCGAGGTATGTGCCCTTGGCTGGAGTCGAACCTGGGACCCTTCCGTCCACAGGCCGACACTCTAACCACTAAGCCAAACCGGCCAGGGCCTTGTTTCATATTTCTGATCGCAACACCCTTCCGCCAGAGAGTTCTGCAGCTCAAAGCATTTTTTTTTTTAATTCCAGCCCTGGCCAGTGTGGCTCAGTCGTTAAGAGCGTGGGCCCTGCACGTGGGAGAGGGTCACGGGTTCGATTCCTGGTCAAGGGCACGTGCCTGGGTTGCAGGTTCAATCTTAGGATGGCATGCCGGGGACACAGCCCATTGGTGTGTCTCCCTCACGTCGATGTTTCTCTCGCTCGCTTGCTCTCTGCCCTCCCCACCTCCCTCCCTTCCACTCTAGAAACCAATACAAAATATATCCTCAGGTAAGGATTTAAAAAAAAAAAATGCAGCCACGTAGCAGGATGTACTTAGGTCAGGAAAGGTCAGGGTGGCTTCCTGTCACCGTGTCCCCCGATGTCAAAGGAGAGAAAATAGGGCCTGAGCCCCACGTGCTGGCCCACTGGCCCCCGAACCCTGAGACCTCACAGCCTCGCCTTTGAGAAGGAAACCGTGACATTTAGGAGAACCCCCCCCCCAGCTTTATAAAAGGCACGCGAAGGTCTATAAATATTGATCCGAAATGAGGGCCGTGAATAATTTATCGGGAGATATAGTTTCTTTGTGTTTTGGTTTTTAAAGCGGCTCGTTTGTTCTGCTCTAAAAGGTGATGGTTCGACAGACATCTTCTCTGTCTCTCACTTTAGAGCCCTGTCTTATTTTTAGAGAAAAAGCGATATTTTCGAAAGATGTGTTGAAATCGGGGTGTGTGGGAGGCTCCCGGGGGGAGGGTGCAAAACAATACACCAAATTTACCCAAATGGAAACACATTGGAGGTGATCTCATTTTGAGGGGAAAAAAATATAAGGAGTGTCACGAATTATGAGCCAAACTGGAAAAGTGTGAGTTATAAAATGCCGGGCATGGGATGGAAGGACGACAGAGCCCAGCCCAGCGCTGAAAACGAACACAGTGGGCTTGGGGCACCCCCCCCATCCGTCCCCCCAACTGACCAGGCTGCTCTGGTCCTACTCTAGGCCTTAGGAGGCGCAGAGAGCTGGGGGACTCACGCATAGCAACTGTCGCCACCTGGAGAAGGGGGAGCTAGGAAAGCGTCTTAGGTGCGCAATTGTTACGTGGACCAATTTGTGACTTAGTTTCCTTAGATGCGCTTCTTTCAGATAATGCAGAGACTCATATTTTCAATGGTTAAGAGCTAGGGAAACCCCAAAACCTCCACGCTAGGGGGGGAAAAATATTTTATGTGAATGCACTGTCCCCCTTTAAGAGAAGCCGCGCATTTAAAAAGGCCAGGCGGGCAGGCGGAACGGGGAATGGGTTGAAATGATTTGGGGGATTTTCCTAAGTATTTCTAACAGGCAGCCATGTCAGGAGTCAGGGGCCGTTCACCTGAACCCTACGCGACCTAAAAGCTTTACCCCTTTGGCGAGTCACCCGATTACGAAACACGACTTCTGTCGCCTGTGAAGTTCTCGGGGTCTCAGCCATGAATTTCGCCGCAAGCTCCCAAACGTGTCGGCACCAAGGGCTCTTCTCTCACGAAACATGCACAGGACTCGGGTTTGAAAATAGTCCCATCAGTGGGGTGGGGCGCAAGCTGCACCTCAGGCCACAGACGCTGTCTTTAGAGGGTCCCCGCTCCAGGGCCCTTTCCCCCCATTTACCTGCCCCCGTGTTAAAATAAAAAGATTCAATTAACGCAACTCACTAAATCACACAAACAAAATAGGTCTTATTAAGCCCTCGGCGGTTCCAAAAGGGACGGCTTTCCTCCTTCGTTTCCTCTCCAAAGCTTTCCCTCCTCCCTAAAGGAAGCGCTAGGCCGGCGCCTCCAAACGCGAAGGCTTCCGGGGCCTTGTCTGGAAACGCGAACCAGGCAGGACAGCTGTCTGGCCGTTTCGGGGAATCTGCAGGCCACGCAGGTGTGACCCCAAATGTACCTGCCCCCGGGGCGTGCAAAGAGAAGTCAGGTCCAGCAGCGGTTCCTTTGCTCACCCGGAGGACTCAGGACCCGGCCAGCTGTGCGGACGGTGGTTCCCTGTTCCCCGCGCACAAACCACTTCATGCGCCCCCCGGGCCCAGCCGGGGTGCCCGGCTTCCAAAGCAATTTCGGCAGCAACACCGGGTGCTCTTCTTGCATTTTCAAGCCACCTGTCCGAGGGTAGTGTCGGTTACCCACCCCGCGCACTGCTGCTTACATACCCCACTGAAGAAAATTGGCAGGTGTGATTTATGGACTACGGCGAGCGCGCAATTTTCCACGGGGTCAGCCTCGTCAGGGGTCGCTCTCTGGCCACACAAACACCAAGTCTCCTCTTTGGGGCAAGTCGGGATATTCATTTTTCTTGGGAAATGTCAGCGGCACCCTATTCCAGGGGTCAGTTTATGCAGATAAACGCCTAAGACTTTAATCTCGGGCCAAAAAATGCTCCGCGCAGACGTCCGAGGAGTCCATCCATCACCGTTAAGACCTGTCATTTGTTTTTATTTAAATCTCAGGCCGGGGCAGAGTGGGCGCCGGGACCCGTGAACGTGGCACCTCACACATGAGCTGGGGCCAAGGCGCATAAACAGGCTGAGACTCCCCCGCCTGCCTCCCACCCCGGGGTGCCCCCCCCTCCCTGGCCAGGACTGAATTCCGTTCCTTTCGCAGCTCGAGGCTGCCTGTCGGGGGCTCAGCGAGTGGGACAGGGCCCCGCGAGTCTCCTCTCCCAGCCCCGCACCAGCCAAAAACGCACACGATCTAATCTGACTTAGGGGCTCCCTCCAGTGCCAGGGACAAGAGGACCAACAAATTGCGTCCTTCGTGAATTTTTTCTTTACCCCAGGGAACAGTCACGTGCAGAGAAAATTCTCTCCCTTTCCCCCTCAGGAACCCTCCCCAAATCCTGAGGGTTCTTTTTATGTCTGCAGCTGACATAACCGAAGCTTTCTCCCAAACCACAGCGCTCGCGAGACCACTTCCCAGCATTAAATATTAAATTTCCAACGGCGAGCTCCGCTTGTGCG